TAGAACTTGAATTGACTGATCTTTCGGACATGATACTATACTCCAACCCTTAAAGATCAAAATCTAGGTCTTAATTCTCTTAATATACCCCAAGATCAATTTAATTAGAAACAATAATCGACGGTTATGATTCGTCCAAATATAGGCAAAAAAATCAATGCACCATCTTATGGTTTATAGTTTATGATTTAGATAATTAGGACCCAGGGTTCATTCATTAAGGGTTAGGGTATAGTATCATGCCCAAAAATCCTGCTAATTCAAGGTCTATATAGCGTTTTCATACTCAAGGTATGCACCCCGGATTTCACCCGGGGTACCCCATACCTTGAGTAAGAAAACGCTATCCAGAGCTTGAATTGACTGATCTTTTGGACATGATACTATACTCTAACCATTAAAGATCAAAATCTAGGTCTTAATTCTCTAAATCTTATACCCCAAGATCAATTTAATTAGAAACAATGATCGCCAGTTGTGATTCGTTCAAATATAGTCAAAAAATCAATGCACCATCTTAGGGGTTATAGTTTATGATTTAGATAATTAGGACCTAGTGTTCACTCAGGTTTAGGGTATAGTATCATGCCCAAAAATCCTGCTAATTCGAGGTCTATATAGCGTTTTCATACTCAAGGTATGAGGTACATGGATTTCACCCGGGGTACCGTTTAAGGCACCATATATATAGGGCGCTTTGACATTTGTACGTCACATAAGCATCCTAATACACGGGAGGGCGCATAACATCTCGGGCGCTTTACTCGCCTGCATCCCCTCTTACGCAAGGAAAAATGAACAAAACACTCAAAGCAGATAAACTTCCAGGCGGCCAACACCTACCTCCCAACCCTCTCCTTTTGTTCTATCCCCCGTCACCTTGCTACATCGCTTTGGCCGCCTTATCTTTATGATACACCTTAAGATTCTGCGCATTTCAGGTGCGCTTGACAGCCTTCCCATTCATGCGTCCGAGCTTAAATGTGGTCGGTCCCACCACCTCATGCACTCGGTAAGGCTCCTTCCACTTTGGCGCGAGTTTTCCTTCGCTTGCTCTAGGGCGGAAGTCTCTTCTCAGTACCAAACTACCCTACGAAATTCGATGCTGGCGCATCTTGCGGTCATAATACCTTGCCACCTGCCTTTACATAGCCTCTAAGCGCACGCTAGCGATGTCACGATGCTCTTCCAGCATGTCCAGGTCATGCACATGCTCTTCGCCATTTTGATTGCGCCCTGTGGTTTGCCACCCTGAAGGTGGGTAGGCACAACTCGACGGGCCTAATTGTACATTTTTTGCCCTCGTTTTCCTCAGTCATTTGTGGCATCTTCACTCCTAAAAGGTTGGTTTTACGCTAGGTTTCTCGTATTTTAGTGTGTTTCAGGATTTAACAGGTGAAACGAGCCTCGGAGTCGAAAGTTGGATGAAAAATATCGAAAATCGGGAGAAGAGGTGGAAAAGGCCCGGTTCACGGCTATCCCAGGAAGTTCACGGTCTTGCACGACCGTGCAGAAGAGCCATTGACCGTGAACCTCGAGGCATCCAGAGCCAAAACAGAAGTTAGTGACGCAAGGTGAGTTCACGGTCACTAAGACCGTGAACTGAGGCTGTCGACCGTGAACGGATGTGAACATAGCGGTGCATTTTGGCGTTCATCTGCATTTCACGGACGCGTTTCATGGTTCACGGCCATGAACTCAGGCCGTGAACTGAGCTCGTCTCTGGTTTAAAAGATGAGCTGAAAGGAGGAGAGAGGGGAGAACCCATTTTGTTTGAAATCCTTCTTTAGATTTCTAGAGAGAGAAACACGAACCAAAGGAGAAAAAGGCTAGGGTTTTGCTTCAAGGTGGATTTTGAGAAGATTTCCTCCAAGGAAAGTTCAACACAAGGTCCAAGAAGATTGGGAGCATCCTCCAAGATGATTTCTACCTCTTCTCCTTGTGTTTTCCCATTTCTAACATGGAGTAGATTTCCTTTCACTTGGGTGTTGTGAAACCCGAACTCTACCATGTCGTTTCTTTTATGTGAATTGAATGATTGTGATTGGGTATTGGTTAATTCAATGATTGAGGTATTATTCATGTTGATTGAGGTATTATTAAGGGTTGTGTATGTTTTGTACTTAGCATCCTTAGGTTTGTGCATTTTGGTGCTTAGCAACCTAAAGATTGTGCATAATTGTGCTTAGCATCCTTAGATTTGTGCATGTTGGTGCTAGCAATCTAATTAGCCACCTTAACCTAGCTTAGAGAGGAAAATCCCCCTTCCAATGGAGACTCAATCGAGTTGGTTTTCCTTCAGCTTTTTAAGCCACCTAACTAGGTTAATTTAGGGCAACCCTCAATGTTGAATTAAGAAAATTGGTTAATCGCGATTAAGCCGTCCGACCCTTGAGTTGAGTGAGGTAGTAAGTCAACTACCGATTGCCTAAACCGAGAGGGTCGAGTGACACAACCTATAATGTTTACCTCGGTTTAGCAATTGAGTTCGTGCTCTCCGACCATATATGCATCCCTCTGCGGTTCGCTGTTAGCCTGTTACCTTTGCCTTTGCCTGATTTTATTGTAATTAGAAAACTTTTAAACCAAAACTTGGTTGCTAGATAATGATTAAAACAACTGAAGTAGAGGTAGATGGACCGGCCCGTGTTGATATTTAAACATACTTATTCTATACTGCACCCGACTAAGGTTTATACTTGGACCTTAGGTGGGAATTTATTGTGGTATTCGGAGTGAGTTAGGCTTTTAATGAAAATAACAAATATTTCTAATGCTTTTCCCATAAATTATATACCCATTGGGTCAACCTGCCCCGACCCGCGCCCCATGATAAATTACCCGACCTGTCGCGGGACGGGTATGGATATCAAGTTACCCACCGCGAACCTGCCCCATTGTCATTCCTACCTAGCGGACCTGGTCGGCCCGTTAGCACTCCAACGTTCAAGTTAGCACCTCAATTTAGAGAGAGAAGTGATGAAAAGCTTTAGTGAAAGAAATCCAAAGTGAGTAAATGAGGTTCACCCACTTCACTATTTATACCAATAGCTTGGCCGACCATTGTCCATCCTTTTTCGCCTTACGTTAGCCTTGCAATAAATGCGCCGTACTCGTTTTCGCTATGTGCCTCGACCACCTGACTCCCTTGTCAGAGGTTCAGGGCGCATGACATCAGGTAGTCAGCCTTTAGTACTTTTCCGACCGTTGGGTGTCTTTTGTCCCATGTGCCTCCTGTCAGGTGTCTGGCCCCACCTGTTTTGTGTGCACTTGGGCACACAGCAACTCTCTTGTTGATTTACTTAGGCCTTTTCTATTGGGCCCTTGGGCGCTCCTTGAAGTCGGGTTTATCTCTTCTTGGGTCATTGGGCTCTGCTCATGCCCCCAACAATAGTCTATAATTTTTAACGCAATACCATTGTTTTACGCGAAACATAAAACTGTTATGAAAATAACATCAAGACATAATTAAATTATTTTACTCTTAACTAATAAGTAAAATCTAAAATGACATATAATCACACTTTCCGATATACCTTATCTCTCCCACTTTTCCTTTCTCTTTTCTCCATAAAACAACATTTTCTTTTCATTTAAATTTTCTCTTCCCTCAAAATTTTCTTTTCCCTCCATTTTCCTCTCTTTCTTCGGGAACAAAGTGTTAAGGAAATAAGATTTCTCAGCCAACTGGTGAAGTCGCAAGCTAGTTCCATGTAACCCAATTCAAGATAGGGTCTGTAACCATTGGTTACTCACAAATGAGTAACTAAATCTGGACCTTTGGATTTAAGTGGGCCTAAAAAATTCAGATTTAAGGGCTGTGAATTAAAATCATTTTATTTTCTCTAATTTTATTAATCAACTCTTATATTTTTCGTCACTCGAATTTCAATTTTTTTTTTTGCACAAATAGAACGAGTTTGTTGTGCTCCACGAAATGAGATCAATGTTTAATATTTTTGAGAATGTTTTTCATACCTCTCGTTACCAACTCATATCATATTATATCTCCTTCGTTTTTAAGTCGTTTTTGAAAATATTTGCACAGAAGGAACGAGTTCATCATAATCTATTGGATCTATAAATTTTTTGGTGAAAATAAAAACACGACAAAAAAATACCATATCATACCATCTTGGTATAGGGGTGGTAATTTGTGGTGCACAATGATGATAGTCGTAAATGACAGTTAGTATACTCCTACTATTATGTATTCAACCATCCTATAGTTTTTGTATGTTTATACCACAATTGTACGCTTTCATACCATATAATATGTTCTTATTTAATACCAGTCAATACCATATGGTATTGACTCGTAAAAAATGTCTCAATTTTTTTTCTTTGAAGAATATATCAAAGTGGATATCACTTGAAGAGTACAATTATTTTGATTTATTTGTGCAAAAAATTAAATTCCGACTTAAAACGAGAAAGAAATCGTCCGTTAAAAGTTAAAGGGGAAAATATTAAAAATGTTCATAAGAGAGAGGATGTTTATGTCACATTGATATAAAAATAGGTTACTCACAGATACAGTTATTGACCTGATCCAGACTCAGGTAACCCCTTCAGTTTACCCCTCCTAATTGCAGTACGTTAAAAAATTAAGCGAATCAATTAGATGATTTGATCCATTAATAAATTGTGTTTAGACTGCAAACACAATGTGGTTATACTTTTGCGAACCCTAATTAGGCAGAGCACTAATTCATTTAAAGTTACAACGCGGTAAACTCAAACAAATGGAAACAAATCACTGAAAAGTGCTTCTAGAAGCATATTAATTTTTGAAGCGAAGAGCTGTAAATATCAGTGTCTCTCCCAATCGTCGCAACCATACGCTTCATACTTTCATTTGGTTCCCTTTAAATCCTCTTCCCATTCCTTCTCCCCATTTCAGCACTACAATTACTCCCTTCCTCTTCCGCAAAAAGATCAGAAATTTGAATTTTCCCATACTCTATAAAATCTCACCGGTCGTTCTTTAACTCTCCGCCCTTTTCTGCCAACGATCAGTGAAAAGCAAAGCCCACAAATTCCCAATCCCAGTGTTCCTTTTCCAATTCACCAATGTTCACTGTTCCATCCTCCGCCGCGATGCCTCTCCTCCAATTCCCCGCCAACGGAGCACCATCATCTCTAAATTCCCCTCCGGCGAAATCCCCTGTTCCCCTCCGCCGGGGACAGAGCATTCGAGCCTCCGTCGCCGCCTTCCCCGAGGCAATTCCGACCGACTGCGGGTCCTCTAACCGCCCCAAGCCGAGCCTGTACGATATTCTGAAGGTCTCTCCCACGGCGTCGTTTGGGGAGATAAAAGCCGCGTACAGGACGCTCGCCAAGATTCATCATCCAGATCAGGCACGCTCCGGCGACGACGACGGCGGTCGCGAGTTCATGGAGATTCGCGACGCTTACGAGAGGCTCTCTGATCCGGCTGTGAGGGCGCTGTATGATTTATCTTTGGGGAGGAGGAGGATGCCGGTCGGTTCTTCCGGCGGGTATTATACGACCCGGAGATGGGAGACGGATCAGTGCTGGTAGAGGTAGTTGCTGACCTTGCGCCGGCGGGGAGTGGGATTCGATCCGTTTCGCCCGCCAGCCCAATTTTTGGATACTCCTTTGTTTCCATCTTTGGGCCTTTGGCCCATTTAGCAATCTTTTATTGTCTTTTAGACACAGACGAAAATGTTTTTAAAAAAAAGGAGTATGAATGTCAGTATGTCACACATTCTTGTCAATTGGCTACAACATCGTCCCTCTGTTCTATAACGACGACGTATGGACATATAGCATTTCAGTTCAAAAACTTCTATCTTCTCCATTTAAGGCCATCATTCTTTAGCTGAATTCCGAATCCTTGAATTATCAGGATTAATTAAGATGCCTGCAGTGTTACTACTTAGTAGCATCAATAAGTGAAAGAACCTAATCTTCTTCGAAAAATATTGTTGTGTCTTTTTCAATTATAAAAGTTATTAACATTTATTTATATTCAAATTGTTGTTGTATTTCATTTAATTGTAATCTATTTAATAATACACCATCAATGCCAGGGATTACAACATTGTGTGAAATTAGTGATCGGATTGGCTTCGAATTGATCAAGTTGATGGTTCATTATAGTTACCTATCATTTCAATCAATGAAAGATTGGGTTCCAGATATATTGGATTATAAGATAGTCAAGATTCTGTTCAATAGAGTCTTACAATTGGATTATTATTTGGATCATTAGGTATCCTAGTCAACTAATATAATTACAAGTTGACCGATTAATCCATCGGGACAACGTTCTGATAACTTTTTTTGTTTCAGATGTGCTAATTACGTGGATAAGTTGAATTATGATTGACCAAACAAACCGAATGTAATGAGTTGATCAAGTTTTGACACCAGTGGATTGTGAATCTGTGATCAATGGAATTGTAAATCAATTGGCAGTGATAAGTTGAGTTACAAATCAATCGGCTTGTGCTTTACATGTAATTGTCTTTTTGGTCAAATTGGTTTGCCAATGAACCAACTCCAGTCCGATCGGGCGGAGCAGCTTTTGTTTCCAGGGTTAGGTTAAGAGCTTGAATAGGTTAATGACCTTAAATCCTTAATTAATTCTCGGGTAAATGCCACATTTGGTCACTGAGATTACTAAATCGTGTCATGTTTAGTCACTAGAAAAATTTAATATCAATTTTGGTCACATGAATTACTGAAACAGGTCACATTTGGTCACTCTCCTGTAGCCTCTGTCCAAATTCGGTCACTCGAATTATTGAAACATATCACATTTAGTCACTTGAATCACTGAAACATGTCACATTTAGTCACTCTCCCATTAGTTTCCGTCCAACTCTATTAATGGAGTTGGACGGAAACTAACAGGAGAGTGACTAAATGTGACCAGTTTTAATAATTCGAGTGATCAAAATTGATATTAAATTGTTCTGGTGACTAAACATAACACAATTTAGTAATCTCAATGACCAAATGTGGCATTAACCCATTAATTCTCACTTACGCCCCGTTTGGATTAAGAATGTTAAAACGCAGGATTTGAAACCCATATCTCTCATTAAAAACCTGGGGAATTTTGGGTGTGTGATTTGGCCCAAATCTGTGTTTGGCAATGCATTAGAGATTTAGCCCATTTACACATTTATCCCCTTCTTCTTTCCTCTTTTTTATCTCATCTCCGCCCCTTAATCTCCTTTGCCAATCGTCAGATCCCGGCCGGTGATGAGAGCCCCACAAGAGAAAAGAGAGATAGACAGCGTCGACGATCCGATGCAGACATGGGACGCTCAATAGAAGATCATCGAAAGCCCAGAAAACCTAGAAACCCAGATTTGGTTCCCGCTTCCCGGCGGGCCAAGTCCCCAAAAAAATCGCTACCCTTTCCCTCTGACCTTGAGCTTCCTGACCTCGCAGACTCTACATACCGTCGACCCACCCACAAAATCGAGTTTTAAACTGAGGGTCAACAACGTTGACTTTAGCCCAGGCATCGGCGGACCAATCAGAGGCGATGAAGAACTCGGGGTTGGGGATGGCGTGTATGTGAAGCGGATGGGGGAGGCGAGCTCCGATGGGAGTAGTGTTGTGGCAGCCGGCAGAGTCTTCGCCAATTCACCCTCGGCGCCAGCTCCCTTAACCTCACCACGATCGATGTCGGAATCAGTCCCCACCAAGCAAGAGTGTTGACGAGATGAAGAACATCTAGAATTGACGACAATCCAGCAAATTCGAGGACCCCTCTCAAGCTACACTGGCGAGGTTGTGGGTGATGGGGTTCCCGATCGGATCTCAATAGGCAGATTTTGATTGCTTTCGGAGGAGAGAAGAAGGAGAATCAGTTGTGATGGAGACGTCAATGACGGAGAGACTGTGGGTACGGCAAGGGTGAAGGAAGAAAGAAGGGTTTAGAAAAGAGCCATAAAAAAGGAGTGGTTGTGAAATAGCTGGTTCCTATCAACTATTTTAAAAACATGCATTTGAGAGATTTTGAAATCTCTGATACTCACAATCCCTCATCTTCCCAAACACATAATAGTATTAAAATCCTGCATAATGAGAGATTGTTTTAAAATACCTCATAATTCCCTTACTACAAACCTTTATCCAAACGACCCCTTAACCAAATTTATAGGTTTGCTGGAGCCAAGAAGCAGCATGAGTGGCACCAAAAGAGGCTGGAGTGGGTAAAGCTGAGCTGGGTCTTGGCCAAAACCCTCCCAATAGTTTTTCTTTTGAAAATATAGTCCCCATTTTTTTTTGGGTAATGTTTATTTTTTATCCAAACCTTTTTTAGATTCTTTTATATTATCCAAACATATTAAAATGCTATTAATTAGCCAAATCTTTCGTACTGCATCAAAATATTAGCCATTTTTACGTTATCCTTAATAATTTTGTAACTTTTTTCTTGGTTAAAATACTAAATTTTTTCAATGTTGACCTTCATGTGTCTCTTTCAAGTTAGTATCATGTTGTCAAGTCAATATAACTAACAAAATTTTTAACTAAAAGTTAATATTTGGCCAATTCTTAGTATTTCGATAGGTTTGGATAATATAAAAGAATCTGAAAAAAGTTTGGATAAATATAGAAATTACCCTTCTTTTTTTTATTGGGCGTTTCTGAAGTTAGAATACAAGTTATCGTGAGCAAATATTTATGCTCTCAAATTTTACCAACATCATTCTCCTACCGATTCGGAGATAGGGAGGAGAATTTTAGTAAATCTGAATACGTTGGAAATTATTGTGTATTATTATTGAAACCAAATAGGGTTTATATAGAACACAAAGACTAACTTCTATAATAACACTAACACTAATACCGTAATTACCAAAAGGGTCCATGGGATGCGGTGGCATCGGCAACGTCGTTTCCAGAAGCAAGGAAGGCGATTCCTCCACCAGATTCAGCCCTGTCGCCGCTTTCTTGGATCCAAGGTCTGTACACATCCTTCTCTCCTTCACGCATCCTCCGTCTCCCTTCTCGGTCCGGCTTTCCCTTAGTTGTTGATGTTGGAAGAATCGAATCTGGGTTGCTGTGGATAGAATTCGATTGGTAGCAAGAAGATCAAATTCGTTCAAACTCTCACTTGACTGAAGCTGTGCAGTTTTAGACAATTTCCTATATGGTCATTTAAGTTTCATAATGTTATTTGAAAGTCCAGTTGTGTGTTAGCTGTTGCAAACGGGTCCGCTACTTTGGGTTGAAGTTTACTTCGAGTCTGTTAGCTAAGTTATAGGGTTGTGGAGTGGGTCGTGGCTAGTGGGAAGCCTTGATTTTAGGTTTGAGTCATTGTACATATGCTTGGCATTATCTATTGAATAAAAACTGCCAGTTTGTACCCAATTGAGTTTCTCATTGTGGTATCAGAGCTCAAAGAAACCTATAACCAAGCAATCTGAGAGAAGAGAGTTCTGCAGGAAATAGCCTAATGGGTTAAGGGGAATGATGCTCTAAAACACAACACCTAACAATGGCCAAGTGTAACCAATGAAAGGGACTGCAGTATAGTGGCACAAGTAATAAATATCGAATCCACGGGTCTCTAGAGTTACTATTACTCAGCTTCAGTTCATTATCTAGCAAACTAGATTAAGGATTGATTAACTAAACTACTCTACTAACTAAACTAAGTAAAACTACTAATTACAGTTTGGGAACTCACTTAGGTATGATTCCCCCTAGCTCCTCAATTAGGTCCAAGTTGTAATTACCTTTGGTTGATCCACTGTTGATTAAACTGCGGAAGATCCTAAATTAGCTTGGAATCTCTTAAGCTGACCAAGCCCTCTCAGACAGAATACCCGGCAGGCGACTAGCCTTTACCGGGATAGACTGCTAAGGCGATTCACACAGATCTCCACTACTGGAATGAATTCCAGTACAAAGCAGTGAATTGATTGACTCTCGCACAACCAATTCACTACTATCAATCAAGGAAGCTCTCTTAACCTAATCAGATTCTATCTATCATAGGTTAAAGCAGAAATCAAGAGAATTTGATCAAGATCCAATTGACTCAATAAATCATGCCTCAATCGATTATAATCAAACAATAAAGCATCCAAAACTTCATACAAGAAAGATCCTAACTCATGGAACTAGGGTTCCTCAAAACCTAAGTGAAGGGAAGTTACTCCATAGAGAAGAGAGAGACTGCAGAAATCTGATCTAGATCTTCAATCTCCATCTCCAAGCTTGATTCCCGAGCTCCAATGGCGAAGAAATCCTCCAAAATAGCTCCAAGAATGTTCCCAAGTCGCTCTCTCTCTCTAGGGTTCGTCCCTTGGGTGTTTGGGATCCAAAACCCAGCTCTCCCTCTCCTTTGGCTCGAATTTGGGTTAAAAACACCCATTCCCGACTCGCACGGCCAGGGTGCACGGCCGTGCACATCACCATTCTGGCCGTGCACCTCAAAACGCGGCGTATCAATTAGTTGAACCTCAGCCAACTCGCACGGCCAGAATTGTATGTTGCACGGCCGTGCGTGGCCACGCACAATCCCGCACGGCCAAACTGGTTACCTGCACGGCCGTGCGTGGCCACGCTGGTCTGCCCGTGCAGCTTGCTCAGCCTCTGTTTAATGCTTCGTTTCTCCCTCGTCCGGACTCCGAATCAATCGCCGTTTGATCCCAGACGCTCGTAGTCTCGTCCTCTTTCGTTTCATAACAAGCTTGCATGATTCTTTGTCCATAAAGTGAGGTAGAAATCCATTCTTCTTCAGGTCATGCCCGAGTTTCTTCTCTCGAATCGTCAATTGATCTCTGATTGACTTGAAACTTGCGCCTATGCTTCACTTTATGTGCTAGGACCTGAAATGGGACAAAGGAACACAACCTAGCATAAAATAGGCCAAAGACGCAATAATTCAAGCTCAAACAATCAAGAAACAAAGGGGAAAACATGTGCAAATACCGAGTCATCAAATCCCCCCACACTTAACTGTTTGCTTGTCCCCAAGCAAACCTAACTCAAACCAATGCAACTCTCCAGACCTCTATAGCAACAAACAACCCAGATCGTAGGTAGAGGACTTCCTAGATCATTTAGCAGCTTACGAGGTCAACCGACGCACAAGTCATCTCATAACTTCTTCGGCGAGTCGGCATCATGGCAAATAGTGAACAGAGGACAAATGAATTGTGGATGAGGAGATTCTCAAAAACAACAGATCATGGACTCACATTTTTCAAGGTGCTCTATTTTCTGCTTCTTGAAGATGGTTGAGACCCCTTTTTTTTTGTTTTGCTTGTTTTCTGATATTTTTCTTTTCTTTTCTTTTTCAAGGGTCCCAACCTGCTCTTACCGGCCATGCCAGGAGCGGATGTCTCGAGCCTCGTGCGGGGGAAAGACATGTAAGGGGGCTGGAGGTAGTAGGTGGAAATTGGGAACGAATTCTCGTCTCCCCTTACACACTTTCGCCCTATTCGCACGGGAGACGTTTATTTTGAAGCACATTTTCGAGCACCTGTTACTTTCAAAACATGATACAAGAGTCCATGACAGGTAGAGAATCCACAACACCACACAATTCAAGGGTCCTAAGATCACTAATTCACTCAATCAACCAACACGATATGAAGAAGAAATGAGATTCCTTAAATGCATCAACATCCTCCATAGTGCTACACTACCTCCCTAGGTTGCATATTACTATAAAGACTGTCAATTCAAAGCATACTGAGCAGGCAATTGCAAGGAAACACGTACTTGGACAGTGGACTAGGCTCCAAGCACACAAACAGCCAAACATTCACCCGCATACATAATCGAACATCCCCCCACACTTAAGCACGACATTGTCCTCAATGGAGGAAAGATAAGGAGGGTAGAACGAAGTTACCAGATCAAGGGTGAATGATGATGTACGGGTCAGGCAGTGCATTCCAGGAAGAGAGAGCAATCAGAACACAAACACCACACAAAATCTCACAAAGGTTGAGTTATTGACTCTAAAATCAAATAACAAAACTGACTCAACCGAGGATAAATAGAGAAAGAAATGCAAACCGACTGGTTGGGTTGCCTCCCAGCAAGCGCTTCTTTCATGTCGTGAGCCGGACGATGGCTCCTAAGTTTCGGTCCATGCTAGAACCTCCTTGAAGTTGAGGTTCTCGTCGATGAGGTGGAGTCTCAAGTCACGAGCATGTGGTGTGGCAGGTGAGGAAGGCTCATGTACTTGATGCAGATGAAGTCTCCACCCTAGAGACCTCTTCTTCTCTTCTCTCGTCTCATTGCCCCAAACCAGATATGACAGCATCGATTGGCCACCATCGCGTCCACCAAGAGGGACCGATGTCGATGTGGCCTTGGTCTGGCAAAGAGACACTGCAAATGGGTCCTTGCCAAGCAGTTCCTCAAAGTTTGGTGGGGATATTACTTGCAACTCATGGCCGGTGCATGCCTCTTCCACCTCAACTTCATCCTCAGCCTGGACGCCAATTGCTTTTTCAACCCCCTTTTCTTCTTCATGTGGTATCACCCCTGGGAAAAGATCAAGAACTCCTCCTGCTTCACTTTCTTCATCCTCCACAACTTCTTTCTGCACCCTTTCTTGCTCTTCTTCTTCCAGCACGAATTGGAGAGCAAGTCTCCATGCAAGGTTCTCGATAAGTTCAGCTTGCATCTCCTCACTCGAGCCCAGCATGTCAGAGCGGAAATGGTGAAAGTTATGATCTACCACCAAAGGATACACTTGATCATGATTATCATGGGAGCTTTCTGTGACAACTTCTGTATGCTCCTCAACATCCTCATGATTGCCTTTTTCTTCCTCCTCCTCTACTTGTATGGCAGCATAAAGGTTGTCTTGAGAAAACTGTGAACAAGCTTTCTCAATGACCTCTAGGTGCTTCTTTATGCTCCGGATGGTATCCTCTGTTTCACGGGGGAAGGAAAAGTCAGTTTGGGCAATGGCCTGGATATGAGGATCCATCTCGGGAAAAGATCTCTCAGGTACTCGAGCAATCTGCTCCACGAGAAGCCTCAATTCATAGTTTGGATCTGGCTGTGGAGTGTAGCATGGCTCTGCAGAATGGCCCGTGAAGGCCGCCATGGGTAACTCCAGATCCGATGGCCCTTCTTGTTGTGGGAGGAATTCTTCTTGATAAGGAGATTGTTCTTGATATGCCCAGGGGTCTGGTTGTTCTCCGTAGTAAGGGGGTTGGTACTGGAACCCGAATCCATAGTCTTCTCCTCCTTGATTGCTGTAGGGAGTCTCGGGGTAATACCACCCAGATGGTGGTGGATACCCCCAATGATTGGAGAAGCCATGAGGATCCATGATTCAGATCTGCACCAACAAAAACAAAAACACCCAAGTGAAAAGCAAGGGTGGAAAAGAAAAGAAAAGAAAAACGCTAAAGTAACAAACTTCTGCCTTTCCTAATACTCTAGAAAGTCCCCGGCAACGGCGCCAAAAACTTGATGCTCTAAAACACAACACCTAACAATGGCCAAGTGTAACCAATGAAAGGGACTGCAGTATAGTGGCACAAGTAATAAATATCGAATCCACGGGTCTCTAGAGTTACTATTACTCAGCTTCAGTTCATTATCTAGCAAACTAGATTAAGGATTGATTAACTAAACTACTCTACTAACTAAACTAAGTAAAACTACTAATTACAGTTTGGGAACTCACTTAGGTATGATTCCCCCTAGCTCCTCAATTAGGTCCAAGTTGTAATTACCTTTGGTTGATCCACTGTTGATTAAACTGCGGAAGATCCTAAATTAGCTTGGAATCTCTTAAGCTGACCAAGCCCTCTCAGACAGAATACCCGGCAGGCGACTAGCCTTTACCGGGATAGACTGCTAAGGCGATTCACACAGATCTCCACTACTGGAATGAATTCCAGTACAAAGCAGTGAATTGATTGACTCTCGCACAACCAATTCACTACTATCAATCAAGGAAGCTCTCTTAACCTAATCAGATTCTATCTATCATAGGTTAAAGCAGAAATCAAGAGAATTTGATCAAGATCCAATTGACTCAATAAATCATGCCTCAATCGATTATAATCAAACAATAAAGCATCCAAAACTTCATACAAGAAAGATCCTAACTCATGGAACTAGGGTTCCTCAAAACCTAAGTGAAGGGAAGTTACTCCATAGAGAAGAGAGAGACTGCAGAAATCTGATCTAGATCTTCAATCTCCATCTCCAAGCTTGATTCCCGAGCTCCAATGGCGAAGAAATCCTCCAAAATAGCTCCAAGAATGTTCCCAAGTCGCTCTCTCTCTCTAGGGTTCGTCCCTTGGGTGTTTGGGATCCAAAACCCAGCTCTCCCTCTCCTTTGGCTCGAATTTGGGTTAAAAACAGCCATTCCCGACTCGCACGGCCAGGGTGCACGGCCGTGCACATCACCATTCTGGCCGTGCACCTCAAAACGCGGCGTATCAATTAGTTGAACCTCAGCCAACTCGCACGGCCAGAATTGTATGTTGCACGGCCGTGCGTGGCCACGCACAATCCCGTGCGTGGCCACGCACAATCCCGCACGGCCAAACTGGTTACCTGCACGGCCGTGCGTGGCCACGCTGGTCTGCCCGTGCAGCTTGCTCAGCCTCTGTTTAATGCTTCGTTTCTCCCTCGTCCGGACTCCGAATCAATCGCCGTTTGATCCCAGACGCTCGTAGTCTCGTCCTCTTTCGTTTCATAACAAGCTTGCATGATTCTTTGTCCATAAAGTGAGGTAGAAATCCATTCTTCTTCAGGTCATGCCCGAGTTTCTTCTCTCGAATCGTCAATTGATCTCTGATTGACTTGAAACTTGCGCCTATGCTTCACTTTATGTGCTAGGACCTGAAATGGGACAAAGGAACACAACCTAGCATAAAATAGGCCAAAGACGCAATAATTCAAGCTCAAACAATCAAGAAACAAAGGGGAAAACATGTGCAAATACCGAGTCATCAGGGAACACGAGACAATTAGGTGAGGCATCTTAAGGGTGAGTGATCTGATAAGCTTGTTAGAAGAGATTAGTGAGAGAAAGGAAACATGGGAGAGAATAGCAGTTTTGCCTAGGTGTGTATCCCAAAATTTGATGGGGATTATGACCACTGGAGCATGCTTATGGAGAACCTGCTCAGATCGAAGGAGTATTGGCGAGTAGTGACTGCTGGTGTTTAAGAACCTGCAGAGGGAACTGAACTAACTGCAGAACAAACCAAGGCTCTCGATGATCTGAGGTTGAGAGATTTAAAGGCCAAGAATTACCTGTTTAGCTCCATCGACAAAAAAATTCTGAAAACCATTACCAACAAAGGAACTTCCAAGTAACTTTGGAACTCCATGATGATGAAGTTTTAAGGGAGTGCGAGATTTCAGAAAGCTCAAATTCAAAGTCTTAGAAGGAGTTTTGAGCTCTTGGAGATGAAGGAAGGTGAAGCAGTTTCAAAATATTTTGGTCGAGTCATGGTGATTGCTAATGCCAATGAGAAACTGTGGAGAGTCCATGACTGATGGGAAAATCATGGAGAAGATTTCGAGAACTCTTTCAGAGAGGTTCAACAATGTAGTCTGCTCAATCGAGGAGTCTAAAGACATTGAATAACTATCTGGGAATGCTCTACAGAGTTCTTTACTCGTTCATGAGCAGAAGTTTCACAAGAAACCTGCTATGGAAGAAGATCAGGTACTCAAAGCTTCCTATGAGAGAAGCAGGGGTGGCATATGAAGAGGATATTACCCTGGAAGAGGATTGGGGATAGACACAGTAGAGTGATACAAGTGTCATAGACTGGGACATTATCGAAGTGAATGTCCATAATGGAACAATCCACAGGGATATCATTAGCAGCAACAAGCTCATTTTGCAGATGCAATGGATATGAAAGATGATGTTTTGTTGATAGCCTGGGTTAATGATAATGAGATAGATATGGATGCAGCTGCTATCCAAACGAATAGTGAGCTCATTCAAGTGAAGCAAGCAGTGGTTATTGAAGAGGAATAAAGTCACATGGACATGATGGCACTCTTGGAAGCAAACTCAGAAACCAAACATGACACAAAAACTGGTTTACTTCCATAGAGACCTCAAGTTCTGGTATTGTGAAGCTAGGAAATGGAACTAAGCTGGAAGTAAAGGGAAAAGGAGCAATAAAAGTCAAAACTGATATGCAAACACAAGTCATTCAGGAAACATTTTATGTGCCTGGTCTGAAAACCAATTTGTTGAGCATGGGGCAATTACAAGAAAGAGGTCTGGAGATTTTGATCAAAGGAAATGTGTGCAGAGCTTATCATGAAACAAAAGGGTTGCTGATTGACATGCTACGACACAACACCTAACAATGGCCAAGTGTAACTAATGAAAGGGACTAGAGTATAGTGACACAAGTAATAAATATCGAATCCACGGATCTCTAGAGTTAATATTGCTTGGCTTCAGTTCATTATCAAGCAAACTAGATTAAGGAATGATTTACTAAACTACTCTACTTATTACAGGTTCGGAACTCACTTAGGTATGATTCCCCCTAGCTCCTCAATTAGTTACAAGTTGTAATTCCTTTTGGTTCTTTTACTGTTGATTAAACTGCGGAAGATCGTAAATTAGCTTGGAATCTCTTAAACTGACCAAGCCCTCTTAGACAGAATACCCAACAAGCGACTAGCCTTCACCGGGATAGACTGCTAAGGCGATTCACACAGATCTCCACTACTGGTATGAATTACAGTACAAAGCAGTGAATTGACTGACTCTCGCACAACCAATTCACTACTATCAATTAAGGAAGCTCTCTTAACCTAATAAGATTCTATCTATCTTAGGTTAAAGCATAAATCAAGAGAATTTGATCAGGATTCAATTGACTCAATAAATCATGCCTCAATCGATTATAATCACACAATATAGCATCCAAAACTTCATACAAGAAATATCCTAACACATGGAACTAGGGTTCCTCAAAACCTAAGTGAAGGGAAGTTACTCCATAGAGGAGAGAGAGAGACTGCAAAAATCTGATCTAGATCTTCAATCTCCATCTCCAAACATGATTCCCGAGCTCCAATGGCGAAGAAATCCTCCAAAATAGCTCAAGGAATGTTCCAAGTTGCTCTCTCTATCTAGGGTTCGTCCCTTGGGTGTTTGGGAACCAAAACCCAACTCTCCCTCTCAAAAATCGTAGAAAACATACACTTATACCCAAGCAGGGGGTGTAAACACGGTCGTGTTTCGAAACCCGTGTTTTAGACCTGCCCGTGTTTAATGCTTTGTTTCTTCCTCATCCGGACTCCGAATCAGTCACCGTTTGATCCCTGACGCTCGTAGTCTCGTCCTATTTCTTTTTATGACAAGATTCCATGATTCTTTGTTCATGATATGAGGTATAAATCCATTATTCCTCAGGTTGTTTCTCCCTCATCCGGACTCCGAATCAGTCACTGTTTGATCCCTGACGCTCGTAGTCTCGTCCTATTTCTTTTCATGACAATATTCCATGACTCTTTGTTCATGATATGAGGTATAAATCCATTATTCCTCAGGTCATACTCGAGTTTCTTCTCCCGAATGGCCAAATGATCTCTGATTGACTTGAAACTTGCTCATATGCTTCACTTTATTTGCTAGGACAAGAAATGTGACAAATGAACAAAACCTAGCGTAAAATAGGCCAAAGTATGATAAAAACCAAGCTAAACAATGAAGGAATGAGGGGTAAAAACATGTAATAATTCAATGTTATCAAATTTCCCCACACTTAACCATTTGCTTGTCTCCAAGCAAACCTGACTCAAACCAATGCAAATCTCCAAACCTCTATAGCAACACGCAACCCCGATCGCCGATAGCGGTCTTCCGAGATCATTTAGCAACTTACGAGGTCAACCGGGCTTCTAAGACGTCCCCTATCTCTCTCAATGCGAGTACTAGACTCAAACCAGGATCGAAGTAGTGGACCTAGGACAAACAAATCATGGATAAAGAGACTCACACAAAACACAAAATCTTGGACTCTTGTATCGGGTGCTCTTCTCATTTCATTTCATTTGTTGGAACCCATTTTTCTCAATTTTTTTTCTGTTTCTGTTTCTTTTTCTTTCATTTCATTTACTGTTGGGGTTCCAACTACTGTTATGCGCAGTCGACCCTTATTGGTTGAGCAAGAGCAATTTCTGTACATCTGTCGCTCGCCAGAGTACTTCGTTTAACTCCTTTTCCTCAATTTGTGCAGAGGGTCAATGAAATTAATGGTGGTCGGAAGCTCTATCCGTGCCCTTAAAAACACATCCTCGAGTAGGCAAACCATTCAACGGGTGGAAATTTTTCTTGTACTAGAGACAACTTAGCTTCACCTTGTAGGAGTACCCCAGTAAGGATCACTAAAATCTTTTCCAAAACCCGATTTTGTGCAATGAACGATGCCCACACACGTTGGGCTTACCCCATGTTTCAAATTAACACATTATTGCCGTGGGGACCAACTACGTTTCATTAAGTACAGTGAGCACCCTCTCATGATACAAAAGTCCAAACACAATTGGAGTCATCCATATTACATGAATCAAAGGTCCTAAAGCCACTAGTTCACACATCAACCGGCACAGCAAGGCGAAAGATAGGAAAAATCTTATACTACAACATCCTCCATAGTGCTACACTACCTCCCTAGGTTGCATAATACTATAAAGACTCTCAATATAAAGCATACTAAGCAGGAAATTCCAGGGAACATGTACTTGGAGCCCTCAAATTAAAAAAATTTGGACAGTGGACTAGGCTCCAAGCACACACATACAGCCAAACATTCACACACATATATAATCGAACATCCCCCCACACTTAAGCACGCCATTGTCCTCAATGGAGGAAAGATAAGGAGGGTAGAACGAAGTTACCAGATCAAGTGTGAATGATGGTGGATGGGGTAGGCGGTGCATTCCAAGAGGAGAGAGTAGTCGGAACACAAACACCACATAAAATCTCACAAAGGTTGATTTATTGACTCTAAAATCAAAGAACAAAATTGACTCAACCGAAGAGAAATAGGGAAAGAAATGCAAACCGACTGGTTGGGTTTCCTCCCAACAAGTGCTTCTTTTACGTCATGAGGCGGGCGGTGGCGTCTAAGCTTCGGTCCATGCTAGAACCCCCTTGAAGTTGAGGTTCTCTTTGGTGAGGCTGAGTCTCAAGTCACGAGCATGTGGTATGGAAGGTGATGTAGGCTCGTGTACTTGATGAATATGAAGTCTCCACCCGCGAGACCTCTTATTTTCTTCCTCTCTCGTCTCATTGCCCTAAATCAGACATGACAGCATTGACTGACCACCATCGCGTCCACCAAGAGAGACCGATGCTGATGTGGCCTTGTTCTGGCAAAGAGACACTGCAAATGGGTCCTTGCCAAGCAGCTCCTTGAAGTTTGGTGGAGATATCACATATAACTCATGACCGGTGCAAGCCTCTTCAACCACAACTTCATCCTTAGCTTGGACGCCAATTGCTTCTTCAACCCCCCTTCCTTTCTCAGAATTCGATTCCTCCCCTAGGAAAAGATCAAGAACTTCCTTTAATTCCCTTCCGTCATCCTCCACAACTTCTTTCCTCATCCTTTCTCGCTCTTCTTCTTCTAGCACGGATTGGAGAGCAAGTCGCCAAGCCATTTCTTTCATGAGAACATCTCGCATCTCTTCACTCATGCCCACCTCTTCAAAGCTCGGTGTGGGATGTGGAAAGGTGTGGTCGGCTACAACAGGACATTCCTGATCATGATCATCACGAGAGCTTTTCGTGACAACTTATGTATGCTCCACAATATCCTT